TGGTGAACAGAATATGGTTAACTTTGTGCCCAATATTTTGGTTTTACATTATTTGGATGCTATAAAACTTAATATGGCCAATGTGGTTGAAAAAGCTAAAAATTACATGGAAGTCGGTTATCAACGTGAATTGACTTATAAACATAAGAATGGAGCCTACAGTGCTTTCGGCGAGGGCAACAGTGAATCAAGTAGTTGGCTCACTGCTTATGTGGCGCGTTCCTTTATACAGGCTAAAAAATATATTGCCATTGATTCAGATGTCATTGATAAAGCATTACAATATGTAGTAGCAAATCAATTGGAGAACGGTCAATTTGAACAGACTGGACGTTTATTCCATGCAACTCATCAAAACGATGTGGGCTTCACGGCTTTTGCATTGTTGGCTTTTTTGGAAGACATGGCAAGTATTAATATATTTTTTCATCACATATTATACGTTATTAATTAGCTCTGATCTAGAGCTTTCAATTTATAATAATATTGCTTGCCATCCCATTATATTCCAGGAATATTCGAATAAATACAAACCGGAAATCGAGAAAGGTATTAAGTATTTGGTCGATAATATGGACAAGGAAAACGATACATATGCCCTTGCCCTAACATTATTGGTTTTAAAGAAAGTTCAACATCCTAATGCTGACAAACTTATGGAAAAAGTAGAAAAATTGGCGCATTATAATAATAGTCGTACATGGTGGACAAAATCAGCAAAAAATCGTAATAATGATATAGAAATTACGGCGTATATATTGGAAGCATATGTATACACCGAACCACCTGGAAAAGTATTACCCATTGTTAAATGGTTGGTAGGTAATCGTAATAATTTAGGCGGTTTTGATACAACATTAGATACAGTTGTGGGTCTACAAGCTCTAATTAAATTTGCTGAAAAGTATGTTGGAGGCGAAGATATTAAAATGACGATTAATTTCAAGGCCCAAGATGCAGAGGGAAAAGAAACCACTAAGGGTAGTTTTAGGGTGGATAAGGAGAATTCAATGATTTTGCAGACTCATGTGGTAAGTTATATTTACATTAATGATTACATTCTTTAGAACTTACATTATATTTCACTTTGAAGCTCCCCAAATCTTCCCGTCAAATAATATTTGAAGTCGATGGTAAAGGTTCATCACTGGTTCAGTTATCTTATCGCTACAATTTAGCTATCAAAGATGACAAACCTAGTTTCAGCATTAAGCACGCAATTCAACCAACCGATTATCCCAATCTATTACAAATGGATGTTTGTGCTGATTTTGTTCCCGGTAACAATAGTGGCATAAAAGAATCTAATATGGCAATTATGGAAATATATTTACCATCTGGTTTTAATGCCGATACTGATAAATTCGATGAAATACGTCAAGCCAAACGAGTACAACGTGTTGAAACTAAGAATACCGATACAGCTATTATTATCTACTTTGATTTCCTTACGACTGGTGAAGAGGTATGCTTCAAAGTTAATGCCGAAAAGAACCATGCCGTGGCCAAACAAAAGCCCGCAGCCATCACCATGTATGATTACTATAATGCTGATAAACGGGCCACTGTTTACTATGAAATTAAGTCATCGTTGTGCGATATTTGCGAAGAGGCTGAATGTGGCAAAATTTGTGAAATTAAAGCAGCAAAATAATTGAAAATTTTACTTTACTTTCATATATGATTAAAGTTATTCAACTTTAACATTAAAAATAAATTTCATTTTAAAATTGTAATGAAGATCAGAGGACTAAAAAAATTATAATATGTAATTCAATAGCAGTACTTGAGGATCTGAAGTTTGTAGATAAATACATATAATCCTTATATACCACTATATTCGGTTTTATTCTTTTTTGCTTCTTGGACATACTTTTTAAAATGTTAATAAATATTTTTCTCAGTGTACATATATTTTAAATATGGCAACACATTAAAAATGCCAAGCATACAATATATACAAATTTTGTATCGGGATGCACCGAATTTCTTATACCCTTCAAACTACATCGGAAATCATTTCAAAGTTATATGTAAATATCATAATTTACTCTTCGAATTTGTAACACGTTAGAAGTAAAACTTAAACTAATAATAATGAGAACCTTCGGAACTGGTTCTGTGGAAGCTTGATTCATTTTATAGAATAGTTCTGGAACCAGCTTTTCCATCACCGATTTTTCTTCCAATTTGTCACCCTCAAAACTAATCATAGGAAAGTTTTGGAGTACAAGAAGGTATGTATATTCTTTTTTCAGCGACTTTTGCTTGAAATTGTTAAGATAGGGAGTAATTTTGAATTCTAAATTGTAATTGAGTTAATATACATATGTATTTTTGAATAAATCGTCATGTTTTCAAATCAATCAGTCGGTTCTATTTTCTGTTAAATATTTTTTAAAAAGGTTCCGTGGAAGTTCTTAGAATCACAATAATGTGATTCATAGACTATAGACTAGAATATGGAATAGACTATAAACTAAAGTATAGTCTGAATTATATACTACACTAAAGAATAGACTGTTATTATACACGCTATAGACTAGACTATAGAATAGACTCTAACTAAACAATAGAATAGACTATGGGTTATACGAGTAGTATATAAAAAGTGCTTATGTTTGCATTCGTTCCATAACTAGTTTTTTTAAAACAGGGTAACTTTCGAAATGTATAAAAGGTAATCATTTTATTTTGGTCTATATAGAACTTAATTGAATATTACGTTTTAAGGAATAGGGTAAAACTGATAACATCTACGTGATTTTTCGTGTTAAATCATCTGTCACATCAAACAACTGTCTATCAAAAGACTCAAGTAGTACCATTCTATAAAAAAACATTAGACATTTCAGTTTACCGATACAAGTTGCTAAAGTATTTTATAGTGATATAATGCACTTGATAAAATTCTTCTTGTACTTGATAATAATAATTTGTCTTCTGCTAATGGAAGCCGAAACAAAACGAATACTTGGAATATTTCCACATTTTGGATACAGCCATTTTAAGGTCTTCTATCCCTTGTTGCGTAATTTAGCTGAGAAGGGACACAACTTAACAGTGATAACTTACATAAAAGCACCTTCATTGCCAAATGATAATTATAATGAATTGATTTTAAAAGGCATGAACGTAATGAATATGGCATCAGTTAATGATATGAAAGCTAGAACCCTTAAAGGTTTATTTGAGGAATATATTGAATTACATGATAAAGGTCAGAAATCATGTAAATTTCTCTATGAAAGTGGTTACGTAGAGGAAGTTTTGAAACGTCATAAACAACAGCCCTACGATCTAGTTATAACCGAATATTTCAACACGGATTGTCATTTGGCATTGCCTTATCTCATGAAAAAACCAGTAGTGGCTTTAAGTAGTTGCCTCTTAATGCCCTGGCACTATGATCGCATTATAATGCCGGATACACCTTCATTTATTCAATCGGAATTAATAGGTTTTCGTACACCTCTTAGTTTGCAGGAACGTTTAATGAATTTTCTTCAAGCCAAAATCTTACCTCTAATCTATCGGTAAGGAAACATAATTATTATAACAACATTTTCAAATAATTAATCAAAATATTCCTTATTTTCAAGTTACCACACCAATTATATGGACAATAAATTGGTACATCATTATCTAAATATTGATATTGATGTAGATCAAATTGCTAAACAATATACCCGTTTGATACTGGGAAACCAACATTATTCCTTGATGGACCTTAGACCTTTTACACAACAATTTGTTGAAATTGGTGGCATACACATCAATGAAGAAGAAATTCGTAATGCAATACCCTCCGAAGTGGATTTATTTTTAAAAAATACTACAAAAGATGTTCTATTTATAAGTTGGGGTTCCATGATAAAAGGATCGACATTAGATCAAAACAAATTGCAGATAATTTTAAACGTTTTAACAAAGCAGGATATAAAAGTCATATGGAAGTGGGAATCAGATAAGGTACCGATTGAAAGTGATCAGTTTTTATTCGTTAAATGGGCTCCTCAACTAACATTGTTATGTAAGTTTTTTTAGAACAAATAAATACCTATTCTTTTTATATGTATATTGTCCTATATTGTTAAAAGGTCATCCAAAAATCAAACTATTCTGGGGTCATGGCGGCCTCTTAAGTACCACCGAAGCTGTATATTGTGGCAAGCCAATGTTAATAACTCCCATATATGGTGATCAATATGTTAATGGATTTGCTGTGGAAAATAGAAAAATTGGTCGGATTATTCAGATTAATGAAATTGCAGAGAAAACACTTAAAGACAAATTAACACAATTGCAACACTCCAAGTAAGAGAAAATTATTTATTTTACATTAAAAGATAAAATTAAATAAAATATCAAATCTTCTTGTTAATTATTTGACAGCTATTCATCAAAAGCTCTACAAATATCACAAGTATTTCGTGATCGTCAAGTAAAACCTCTTGATACAGCGACCTGGTGGGTAGAACATATACTAGATCATAAAATTACCGAAGAGGTTTTAAACACCTATGCTGTTGATTTAAATTGGTTTGTTTACTATTCATTGGATGTAATCAGTATATTATTAGTAATTTTAATTGTATTCCTATTGATTATAAAATTTTTAATAAGATTTATTTTAAGAACATGCTCGTATAGAAAATTTCACAAGCTGAAAGAGAACTAGAAATATAAGATCTTCGAACTTGTACTTTATGGGAATAATGTTTTAATGATATGAATTTGCATCAAAAACAATGTCTGTTAAAAGCAAGATAGGTTCTAAGATTTTGTTGCAATTTTAGTTTTAGAGACTCGACAAATATGTATTAAATAAAATCTTAATTTATTAACAAAACACAATGACATTTTTAAGGTTTTTAACTTTGTAATTCTTAATTACATATATTGTCAAAAGGTCTAAGGGAATTCTGCAATTCCCAAAATTTGGGACGAACATTCCAAAAATGCTATTTTTTACAGTTACCATATGGGCTATGGTCCATTTCCATTTCTCTCAGGGCTGTCAAGGTTTCTAAAACTGTAAAAATCTTCTCCCGAATTTGGGTTTAAACCGCAGCCACTATGTGGATTCCGAAGGAACCTCAACCAACTGACCAGCCAGAACAAGTCCACCTGTAATAACAGATTATGTGGTTCACTGGTTAGACCCCATGTCAAATCATTGAAAGGACTAGCCGAGGAGTGAAGTGACAGTACTACCAATCCCGGCAGACTAGAGGTACTGGTTGCACCTCTTTACCCAGGGATTGCAATATTTAAAATTGTACATGACGAAGGTACCCTAGTTTAAGCTGCCTATAACGCCGCCATGGAACGTTAGTGGGGTCTATTATCAAAAATTAAACTCAAATACTCAATGGCGACGATCATGTCAAATGTCATTTCGTTTTAGAAATACTAAATATATTTTCAAAAAATTTTACTTGTGTCCCACTGTGTGCTATAAAATAATATTACTGAGTTCATTTTCATTCTTTATCAAATTATGATGAAAAGATGTGATATTAAAACTTTTATAACAGATCGGTTGCAGTTTAAAATCAAACAATTATATTTAAACACTGAACATACCCTATGATTTTGTATTAACTATTTTTTCAGTGTAATCTAAAAATTGTAAATATGGCAACCCCTTGATATTACGGTGAAATGTCATTTTGTAAACAAAAACAATAATATTATTGTTTATTAAATTTATTCAAAAGAAATTAAGAAAAAATGTTATCAGTTCAATACAAATGTTCAGAAAAATATACAAATTTATTAAATTACAATGTAAACAATTGTTATAGTTAGTTCTTTTAACAAAAATCTTAATCCAGTATATGAGAATAATGATGTTGGTTACACAAAATTTGCCACTTAATTTAATTAATAAAATATTAAAATGATCACACAATTGATTAAGGTCTACCTAATTTTTATATGAAATACTATCTGTCACCCCGCGCCGCATGTTTTGTAGACTCTACTGTTTAGTAGTATGTATACTCTTCATTAGAACGTTTAGAATAGACAGACAGTTCTGATACTGATACGGTTAGCGATAGTTGTCGTACACTCAAGTGATAATGAATTTGTTAAAGCTCTTCTACTTCTACTTTGCCACAATATGTGTTCTGTTAATGCAAGTGGAAACAAAACGTATTCTGGGAATATTTCCACATTTTGGTTACAGTCACTTCAAAGTCTTCTATCCCTTATTGCATAATTTGTCGGAGAGAGGCCATAATATTACTGTGATTACCTATATAAAAGCTACCACTCTGCCCAAGGGAAATTATGAGGAATTATTACTGAAAGGCATGGAAGTGGTCAATGTGGTGCCTTTGGATGAGATGAAAGAGAGAACCTGGAAAGGTTTATTTGATGAATACATTGCTTTACATGATGAGGGTCAAGAGTCATGTAAACGTCTCTATGAAAGTGGACACATTGAGGAAGTTTTAAAGCGTCATAAGCAACAGCCTTATGATCTAGTTATTACCGAATATTTCAATTCAGATTGTCAATTAGCATTGCCTTATTTAATGAAAACTCCGGTGGTGGCCTTAAGCAGTTGTTTGCTAATGCCCTGGTACTATGATCGTATACTAATGCCAGATACACCTTCATATGTGCAATCAGAATTTGTGGGTTTTCGTACTCCGCTTAACTTTCATGAACGTTTAATGAATTTTGTACAAGCAAAAGCCTTATCTATACTCTATCGGTAAGTGGGTACATTTATTACAAAATCTATAAATAAACTAATGATGAAATGTATTCTTAATACTTCTAGTTATTATACCAATTACCTCGATAACAAATTGATTAAACATTATCTAAATATTGATGTAGACGTAGCACAGATTGCTAAACAAAATACCCGTTTAATATTTGGAAATCAACATTATTCCTTGATGGGTATTAGACCTTTTACACAACAATTTGTGGAAATCGGTGGCATACACATTAAAGAAGAGGAAATTAATAAAGTTTTACCCAAGGAAGTGGATTTGTTTTTAGAAAATTCTAAAGAAGATGTTCTTTTTATAAGTTGGGGTTCTATGATTAAGGGTTCAACTTTGGATGCTGATAAATTGCAGGCAATTTTAAATGTTTTAACAAAACTCGATATAAAAGTTATATGGAAATGGGAGTCGGATGAAATTCCTATTAAAAGTGATAAATTTTTATTTATAAAATGGGCTCCTCAACTATCGTTGATATGTAAGTATTTCTAGAGAGATTTTTTTATATTCTGAAAATTTGTAAGCTTAGTTTTCTTTATCCTTTGATAAATTCTTGGTAATAACACTGTTAAATTTTATTACTAAGGTCATCCAAAAGTCACGCTATTCTGGGGTCATGGTGGTCTTTTAAGTACCACTGAGGCTGTGTATTGCGGCAAGCCGATGCTTATAACTCCAATCTACGGTGATCAATTTGTTAATGGTTTTGCTGTGGAAAATAGAAAAATCGGACGCATTATTAACTTTAATGACATTAAAGAGAAAACCCTTAACGAACAACTAACACAACTACGACATGCCAAGTAAGTAGAAATTAAAAAGTTTGTTTAAACACAAACAATAACTTTAAGTCTTTTACAGTTATTCAACTAAAGCTTCGGAAATATCTCAAGTGTTTCGACAACGTGAATCACAACCTCTTGACACAGCCACCTGGTGGGTAGAACATTTATTAGAACACAAAGTGAGTGAAGAGGTTTTACACTCATATGCTGTTGATTTAAATTGGTTTGTTTACTATTCATTGGATGTGATTACTTTATTATTAGCAATTTTATTTGTATTTATTTTTATAACAAAAAGTTTATTGCGTTTAATTTTGTGTAGACGTGTTAATGTAAAATATGATAAAGTTAAACAAAATTAGATTATTTACAACATTTTATTATTTACAATTTATTAGTGAAACATGACATTGCAACTACTGTTTGTGCCTTAAAAGTAATTTGTAAAGATTTTATAAGTATGTACAATGTTATTTTATTTTAGAAAAATTTTACATATTAATGTATAATACTCAGGTAAATGTAATTTTTAATAAAATTGTAATAAAATTATTATTATTAACTGTTCAGACTAAGTTTGAATGTTTAAGTGTTTTCATAGACTCCTTATTGTTATATCATATGAAGTGATTGCTTTTAATAAAATAATAATAATTGGGATAGATTAGTTCAAAGACTCTTCCACTTCAATAATAGTCAATCAACTAGTCCATAGGATGGTTAATAGCCTAGCCCATTGACTAGTTAATAGACCAGTCAAAATACTAATCCATAAATAAACAAAACTAGTGCAAAAATTAGTCAATAAGCTAGTCGAAATACTTATCAAAATAGACAAGTCCTAGACTTGCCATTATATTAGACTTAGACTAGTCCCTAGATTAAAAAATAGGCGAGTCAATAGACTTGTCTACTCCATAGGTTAATCGTTAAAACAGTCAATAGATAAAAAAGCCAAAAAGTAGTTTAATTAATAGATTAACGTGGTAGTTTACTATGGCCTAACTATCAAGTAGAGTCGTAAGAACCCCGTAATGATGTATTATTTCCAACCTATAGCAGTGAGTTGTTTCAATAGGTTGTTGAGCCTGAACCCAGATAGTTCACTAAGGTCGCGTATATGTAGAAATATATTCCTCTTGGCAGTTGTAGAAGGGCATTCGCATAAAAAGTGGAGGAACGTTTTCTCTTTTCTCCTTGTCATTGCAGCTGCGATTAAATTCGTTGAAAGGGAGCCCAAGTGTACAGTTATTGATGCCAGCCACCTCTATACATCCCACCTTATTGAGGGTTATATGCTGCCTAGAATGCTTCCCATTGAAAGAAGGCAACATTAACATAGTCCCTCTATATGTGTATAGATTATTTAATTTATTTTCAGCCTTTATAGGAATGAACCTGACGATATTACCAACGAGTTGCGCGTTTAAACTTCTTGAGTCCAATTATATTTCATTTAAGGTCATGTTAAACGTCAATCGGTTCTTGTTTCTAATTCGAATTAAATCATTAATTGAATTTACATTTAGTTCAATTTTACTTCCAGTTTAAGTTGAACTTGAAGCTTCGATAGGAGTTCCATTTAAGATCCAATTTAAGGCTCAGTCAGTTTGTACTTTCTGTTGCGTGACAGTTAGTTAGTTCGTTAGTTAGTTAGTTAGTTAGTTAGTTAGTTAGTTAGTTAGTTAGTTAGTTGTTAGTTAGTTAGTTAGTTAGTTAGTTAGTTTCGTTCGTTCGTTAGTTAGTTAGTTTTCGTTCGTTTTCGTTCGTTCGTTCGTTCGTTCGTTCTTCGTTCGTTCGTTGTTCGTTCTTTCGTTCGTTCGTTCGGTCGTTCGTTCGTTCTGTCGTTCGTTCGTTCGTTCGTAGTTCGTTCGTTCGTTCGTTCGTTCGTTCGTTCGTTCGTTCGTTCGTTCGTTCTTCGTTCGTTCGTTCGTTCGTTCGTTCGTTCGTTCGTTCGTTCGTTCGTTCGTTTCGTTCTTCGTTCGTTCGTTCGTTCGTTCGTTCGTTCGTTCGTTCGTTCGTTTTTTCGTTCGTTCGTTCGTTAGTTCGTTCGTTCGTTCGTTCGTTCGTTCTTCGTTCGTTCGTTCGTTCGTTCTTTCGTTCGTTCGTTCGTTCGTTCGTTCGTTCGTAGTTAGTTAGTTAATACCACCGATCAACCACAAACTCTTAGGAATCTGTGATAAACTGTCAACTGTCATTGTTTTAAAATTGAAGTCAATTCAACAACCATTATTTTATGCCATTTGATCTTAAGACTGTGAGATTAACTCTCAAATTCTCTTCATTTTCAAATTTAAGCTAATTCAACAAACTTTCTTTTCTCCCAATTTTAATTAAAGCTTTTTCTAAAAAGCTTTAAGCCAACTTAAAAGATAAACACCAAGTTAATACATTCTCCTTAAATGTAAACCTAGAAATTAAACAGACAAGTTAGTTATAATTCGATACTGCGACGGTGAACAACTAAAAACGGAAAAGTTAAAAAGTGTTAAATGACGTCGACCTAAAAACGCGCATAATTGAGAAATAAAAAAAATAAAGCAAAAAGAGAAAAAAACAAACGTAATAAATACGCGGTATATAGTTAACTAAAACAAAAGATCTAAAGCATTTAAACTAAAATAAATGTGAAAAAATATGTACATAACAACAAAAAATTTATAAAATAAACGGCCCACACAAAAAGTTCAATATACATTTAATAAAAATAGCGTATAGCAACATTTGTACATAAAATTTTGTTGATTATTACTCATATTTCTGTAAATTCTTTTAAAATTAGTTAAAAATTTTTAAAAGTGATTTCATAAATATTTTTATAAAAAATAAGAAATATTTTGTCAAAAGTTTGCGTGGTTATAACAAACAAACCAAATGTTAACAAGAGCGTAAAATAAATTATATTTAACAACAGCAAAAATAACATCAATAATTTCAACAATAAAATGTTTAAAATGTTATATTTAAAGTGCTTAATATTTTCAACACTACTGGTGCATTTAAATTCTGCTCAAGGGTTTGTATAATTTATTTAAATTTGTTTTTAACATTTCTTATTTTCACTACTTTTATACTACTCCATATGATGTTTTTGTGTATTTGTATGAGTTACGTTTTTTTTAAACGGCGAAATGATCTCATAAGCGTAATGATTGAAATACTATAACAAAGTAGAAAATGAAAAAAAATCCAGTTTATATGGACAAAATTTTAATGAAACATTTGATGTTGTTAAATAAACTAAAATTATAAACAAATACCTTCATATAAAAGTATAAAAACCCCTATTCGTTTACCTTTTCTCATAAAAACAACTCTCTTGGCTGCAGCATAAACAATAACAAAACAAAAGACTTAAGACCCGTACTTACATACGAATTAGTACTTTTTGTTCATGTTACACAGTGGGGGATTTGCATTAAAATAATGGAAATTAATTTCATAATCTGATTTTTGAATTTTCATTAAAACTTAGATATAAGAAAACAAAATTAGACACTATGGGTTGGAAGCATAAAATTATCAATGAATGCTACTTTAGGTGATTATAATCCAGAAACTTTCCGTCTATATAACTTTTACGTTTCTGGCTTTGTTACTAACTAGAGTAGCAGAGGTACTTCTGTACGCTATTCGAAACTAAATAAAAACTAGTATGAATGTATAGTCAGTCATGGCCGAACATATGATACCCTACACCAGTATAGGGTATCACTCATTTGCCGGAAGGCGATCAAGCCGGGACCGTCAAATGATAAGCTCTGCATTATATGGGGATACCAGGCCAATTAGAGATAATAGACAATAAAAGAACGGATGTAATTGCTTTAAAGGATAGGGAATTAGAGAAAGTTATTCTGACGAGGGACACACATGATTAAGGATACAACTATTCAGACGTATGTAGAGCAGGCGCATATGACACTGAAACTCCGGAAAAAAACCTGCTCAGTCATTCGTCAAAATTTGAACCAAATATCTTTTGAGAGATGTTATTCCAGATTTTAAGTCCCACGGGGAAATTGGTTGAAAACTCTATGTCTAGGAAGTTGAATATCTGAACACAGGACTATAGTCTAGTCTATAGTCAAGTCTATAGTCAAATCTATAGTCAAGTCTATAGTCTAGTCTATAGTCTATTCTATAGTCGAGTCTATAGTCTAGTCTATAGTCAAGTCCATAGTCTAGTCTAGTATATAGTCTAGTCTATAGTCTAGTCTATAGTCTAGTCTGTAGTCTAGTCTATAATCTAGTCTATAGTCTAGTCTAATCTATAGTCTAGTCTATAGTCTAATCTATAGTGAAGTCTATAGCCTAGTCTATAGTCTAGTCTATAGTCTAGTCTATAGTCTAGTCTATAGTCTAGTCTATAGTCTAGTCTATAGTCTAATCTATAGTCTTGTCTATAGTCTAGTCTATAGTATAGTCTATAGTTTAGTCTATATTCTAGTCTAAAGTCTAGTCTATAGTCTAGTCTATAATCTAGTCTATAATCTAGTCTATAGTCTAGTCTATAGTCTAGTCTATAGTCTAGTCTATAGTCTAGTCTATAGTCTAGTCTATAGTCTAGAACGGATGTAATTGCTTTAAAGGATAGGGAATTAGAGAAAGTTATTCTGACGAGGGACACACATGATTAAGGATACAACTATTCAGACGTATGTAGAGCAGGCGCATATGACACTGAAACTCCGGAAAAAAACCTGCTCAGTCATTCGTCAAAATTTGAACCAAATATCTTTTGAGAGATGTTATTCCAGATTTTAAGTCCCACGGGGAAATTGGTTGAAAACTCTATGTCTAGGAAGTTGAATATCTGAACACAGGACTATAGTCTAGTCTATAGTCAAGTCTATAGTCAAATCTATAGTCAAGTCTATAGTCTAGTCTATAGTCTATTCTATAGTCGAGTCTATAGTCTAGTCTATAGTCAAGTCCATAGTCTAGTCTAGTATATAGTCTAGTCTATAGTCTAGTCTATAGTCTAGTCTGTAGTCTAGTCTATAATCTAGTCTATAGTCTAGTCTAATCTATAGTCTAGTCTATAGTCTAATCTATAGTGAAGTCTATAGCCTAGTCTATAGTCTAGTCTAGTCTAGTCTATAGTCTAGTCTATAGTCTAGTCTATAGTCTAATCTATAGTCTTGTCTATAGTCTAGTCTATAGTATAGTCTATAGTTTAGTCTATATTCTAGTCTAAAGTCTAGTCTATAGTCTAGTCTATAATCTAGTCTATAATCTAGTCTATAGTCTAGTCTATAGTCTAGTCTATAGTCTAGTCTATAGTCTAGTCTATAGTCTAGTCTATAGTCTAGTCTATAGTCTAGTCTATAGACTATATATATATGCCTCAAATTTTATGCTATCATTCCCATTGTGCATCAACTTGATGCGTGTGCTGTTAAACAATGAAACTAAACTGTCAGCTGCACGTCTGTTCATCAGTCAGTGAGTTAAGTACATACTGGATTTGTTATGGTTTTTTTCTTAAAGACATTATAATTCTTTATTGTCTTTCTATGAACAATTGTTTGTTGAATTCTTTTTTAACTTTATTTCTACA